AAAGCAAGCAATATTCTGCCACAGAGGGCGCCGATGAGGCTTTATGTAGTTTGAAACGGTGAGGATAAAGAGACCCTGTCACTAGACCGAAAAAAAAAAAAGTTGAACTTTAAGCAGCCTGTAAAAGAATACAGGCTATACCTTTCATGCCGGAGGGTGGTGACTCCAGTCTTTGCTCTCATGCAGAGCTACAGCCACCATTGCTATCTGACACTTCCAGGAGTGTCGGAAACCTGGTTCTCTGATGCAGTGTTTTCAGTCTTTTTTCAATCAAGGCACCCTTTGGAATTGCAGACAATCCCAGGGCATACCAATCTGAGGATTCATTGGCACCAGGAGAAGTGTCTGTCGTTTTTTTTTTTTGCGTGTTTTGGCACGTTGTGTTTTTTTTTTTTTTTTGATGGGCTGCTCTGTGCTCGTGAAACGCACATAAAAAAGGTTCTGGCATGATTTTTTAAAATCGCTCCACACCAAAATACAAAACTGCAGTACCTGTAGATTTAGCGGGCGCCAACGTACGCATATTTGGTAGATGTGTGGGGGGTGCCATTAAAAAATAATGGCATCCACCCATGTCTACAAAAAGCAGCACATTTTGGTGCAGGAAAAAAACGCACAATTTTGCATGTTACCGCACATTTTTTTTTTTATAGTTTGTAAGGCAGTGGTCTGTAGTGGCCCCTTCCCTAATCCCCCCCCCCTTCCCTCCTATATCCTTCCCACTAGCACAAATTCCATTCCTCCTTCCCCCTCCAAAACTCCCTCTCTTTCCATAATCACCTCTCTTTCCACCACATCCCTTTCATCACTACAGCAATAGTGACAGTGGCAAAGCGAGAGATGAAAGAGGTGTGGGCTGTACTCTCTCTCCCCCCGATCCTTTCATCTTAGCTCCTCTTCCACCTTTCTGTATCCTAGATTGTAAGCTCTAACAAGCCGGGCCCTCTGTTTCCTCTTGTACCAAATTGTATTGTAACTGTACTGTCTGCCTTCATTTTGTAAAGTGCTGAGCAAACTGTTGGTGCCATATAAATCCTGTATAATAATAATAATACCAGAGATGACACAGAACACAATCAGATGGGACATTGCAGGGTTTGATTACCTCCCTCTACTCACAATTTTTGCCGCCAGTACAGGAGCAGCGTAGAGAGGAGGTAATCAAGCCCTGTACACTTTGATCAGAGAGCAATCCTGTGTTAACTGCTGTGTACAGACAGGGGGAGAGAGCACAGCCTGCACCTCCTCCCAGCGCTCTTCTCTTCCCTGTTGCTATCTGTACTCCTGTCGGCAACCCAGGAAGCTGTGCAGGCTGCCTGACATGTCCTTAGCAATCGATGATCTCATCAGTTGGCAAGATACGTGTAACAGCCACCCAATCAACTAGGAAAACTTAGACAGTGGTGGCTGTAGCTCTGCAAGAAACTGAGGATTGGGGACACCACCCCGCCAGGTTGGTAAGCAGACCAGAATGGGGCCCAAGGCAAGGTGCCCCCCCAAACCCTGCAATTGACTGATAATGATTGCAGTAGGCAGAGAGAAGCCACGCCATTGTTTATCCTGGTATGGCCCATCCCCATGAGACTCCAACTGCCTTCAATTGCCTCTCCACCCCCTCCCTCCCCCACCAGCTTTCTCCTATTTTGCCATTCCCCTGGTTTACTGCAGAGAATGAAGGTTGTTGCTGGGACCCCAGGACATCCACTGGATCCTAACGTCATACTTATCCCTAGCTTTGTGCCTAGGGTGAAAATCCATCTGTTTCTATGCAGTGAAAGTGTTGGGTGCCAGAACAGGACTTTATGTCGAAGGAAAAGCTTAGGAAACGTGCCAGCATTTACAGCAGATGCAGCACTTACGGTTCTAAACAATGTGACACATGTAGGTGCCATCACCACATTCACGGGTGAACTCCTAACAGATAACAGGGATAAGAAATGACCCCAGTGCCATCTAGTTTGCAGCAATGCACCAGGGCCCTTGTTCTCTCCACCTGCTCAACCATCACAGGAGACAACCATATTACACATTGCAATTCTGCAGTTTTAGGCTCTGGTTTGGGATTTCCTTTATAGTTGCTGAGTCTAGTTTAAAGAAACCATTCTCAACCATGGTTCTGTGAAACCCCAGGGTCCTTTCAGAGCCTACTGGGGGTTCCTTGAGTTATGGCCGATTGACCTTCAGTTTAATGGTGCCTCCACAGTTCCAAAGCCAACATTCGTTGGCCCAGACCATTTAACTGTCTGTATGGATTGCAATCGAACCAACACTGTCAGGGGGTCCAACTGATCATCAACGTAAAGGGCATTTTTCCCACTAACCACAATGAACTGGTTTTAGTGGGTGTTCCCAGGACCTAGGAATAGATTTAAGGATACGTCTGGGGTTATAAGGATGATAAAATCTGGATTAGAGTAAAACTTTCATAATTTTTTTTTCACGGATAATTGTACAATACATTATTACAACTGTCTGGAAGTAGAGGCATCAGCCAAGTTGGGTTTTGGGTTATACATAAACCAGTTTGTTCTTGAGGAAAGTGCTAAAGTGCAAGGCAGGTCATTAATTTATGGGTCTGCTATGTGGAAATGGCATTTACCCAGAAGCCATTTGTCCTTTTTGGAGAAGCTTTGATTGCGTGTACTCAGAAGTCTAATAAGACCACTTCTACGGTGCTTCACATGATGACCGGAGCCATCAGCCACTTGCTGCTGAAGTTCTATTTCTGGGTCAGCTTTGAGTCACCAAAGCTTGACCCTTTATTAACCAGTGTATGGGATGTGTACATACAGTACAGCCATGAAGTAGAAGTGGCAAATCCCGTGGTTCCTTCTTTTGTCTTACTTGCAAATGTTTATTAGGAAGAAGTGCCTCAAGGAGCCCTTCTCCTACATCATTGAAGTCCTCATCTCTTTCACTTCTGTAGGAGAGCTGAAGGCTGTGTGCCATCTGAGTCTTTATATGAAATCAGCTGTGCAGAGAAACTGGGGTGCTGATGGCACACTTGATTAATGTGAAGTCACATCTCTGGCAGTAACCCCCTAAATATGCAATCATTATCAGCATTACCTGATTTTATATAAAACGCTCAGACACCAAACAGCCCCAAGATGTTGCTCAGCCAAGGGCTATAAATCACTGAACAGACATTGATGTCAGTATGTGGAAACGTTTTTTTTGTTTCTGAATAAGCCATTTTGAGCTTAATATTGAATTTTTTTTTAAAAAAGGAGCAAAAAGCCATAGCAACCAACCAACTGACCTCTTAAAGCGGAACTTCACTCAGCAATCAACATTGACTATTTTTAATCCTTATGCTGCCAGCATTAGTAAATAGATAGGAAAATAGATCATACGTTTCTTCAGTTGCTTCCTGGCCTAGACAAATTAGATGGTACATCCCAAGAGTCTTCATGAGGGGAGGAGGGGTTTTCTCAGCTAAGCACATCCTCCTGCCCAGGGGTGTATTTACCACAAGGCATTTGCCTGGGGCGGCATTTTTCAGGGGGGGGGCAGCACTACCCCTTGGAAGAAGGGACGAAAGAATGGACACACATGGCATGGGGATCTGGTGGGTTCCGAGAGATGCTGTGGGTTTCATGATGGTGTATGCACAGCCCAACTCTCATTCCTGGGGATGTCCGGAGCTTTGAAATTGAGTGTCTTTCTCTCTCAAGCCATGGGGGATGGTTGCTGGTGTATGCCCCTTTGAAGAAGGAACAAAAGAAGGGACACACGTGGCATGGGGACCTGGTGGGTTCCGAGAGATACTGTGGGTTTCATGGCGGTGTATACACAGCCGGACTCTCATTCCTGGGGATGTCCGGAGCTGTGAAGGTGAGTGTCTTTCTCTCTCAAGCCATGGGGGATGGTGGCTGGTATATGGGGGCAAGTGCTAGTGGAAGGCTCGGGTGGAGGGTAGGAGTGTTCTTGTTCAATGTTAGGCTCTTTCTGTGGGGGGGGGCAATTTTTGTGTTGCCTAGGGCAGCATAAAACCTAAATACACCACTCCTCCTGCCTGCATGCCTGAGCTAAGGGAAATGGATTCTTAGAAGTAAATGCTACATGAAACATCTGCCCTTACTCAAGATGGCCACGGCCAGAAATTCTTGGAGGTGTTTTTCAAACTGATTTCTCAGAAAAATAAAGCATGGAGACATGGATGGATGGGGAAGATTGTTTTGACTATTTAAAATGAATGAAACAGCATTTGTGGCTTGTGGTGCTCAGATGCAGTGTAGTTCCGCTTTAAACTGATGAAAGCAGATTGGTGGCCATGAGTTATAGTTCATTTCCCTCTACATCTTGTTATATAGGCTCAGAGAGGTCTGATGTCTTTGGCAGGAGTATGTGAACAAACTACAGCCGAAATATCCCCAATAGAGTTTTATTTTACAAAATCACTATAACCAGTGGTGGGACGAAGTCATCCAGTTCCCAGGGGAAAGATGCCAAACTGTGCCCTTCCCCCCAACCTTCCCTGGTTTATGATGTGCAAGCTTAGGGGATTCAATGCACAGCAGTCACTCCCAGGGGCGGACTGACCATTCGTGCACTCGGGCACTGCCTGAGGGCCCAGGGTCAGTAGTACCTTTCATAGGCTTTTTTGGGTGTGGATTGAGTGTGGGTGAGGACACAGGGGCCCCATGATCCCCTATTGCCCGGGGGCCCCATGAGTTGTCAGTCCGCCCCTGGTCACTCCCTTGTCAAAATCACTGCCGCTGTCACTACTGCTATCCCTTGTAACAGAAGGAAGATGCCCCCATCTCTACAGAAAACCATTGCACTCAGGGAAGTCACCCCTCCCGCCCATCTTGGGACAACAGACTGGTCAGTAGTTGGTCCAGCGGTGAATTTGCAATTTTCAGCTTGTAACTGAGGAGAGAGCTAAGAGATGATGCTTTGCGCATAGCCACATGGAATATCCTTGCATCACCAGACCGACAGCCTGTAAATAGGCAAGTATACAACAAGTGCAGCTCACTGAGTCACTTTCATACCTGTGACGGCAGCGACGTAAAAACCTCATGATCTTCCGAGCAGCTTGATCCTGTTTCTTCGTCAGAAGACTGCTTCTGGAGAACAACAATCAGCGTATTAAAAGAGCAGATACGTCCAAACAAGATTTCTTAGATACATTATACCTCAGGATCTACAGTATCTAACCCAGACTTACTCAGCTAGGGTTCCTCCAGAATTGTTAGGGCTTCCTTGAGCAATAACTGGCGGGTTGACTTCTCAGCTGTGTCTGTATAATTTTGGGTCTGGCATCAATGGGCAAAGCCAATGGCCCAAAACCAGTGGAGTTTCTCATCTCTTCTCTCGTGTAAATAATGATTGACACAAATGATCATTTAGCTGTTTCTAAGAGGGGCACTCTTCCCAATGACCACCAATATAAGGGGATGTATCTAACCCAGACTTACTCAGCTAGGGTTCCTCCAGAATTGTTAGGGCTTCCTTGAGCAATAACTGGTGGGTTGACTTCACAGCTGTGCCTGCATAATTTTGGGTCTGTCATCAATGGGCAAAGCCAATGGCCTAAAACCAGTGGAGTTTATCATCTCTTCTCTCGTGTAAATAATGATTGACACAAATTATCATTTAGCTGTCTCTAAGAGGGGCATTTTTCCCAATGACCACCAATATAAGGGGATGTATCTAACCCAGACTTTCTCAACTAGGGTTCCTCCAGAATTGCTAGGGTGTCCTTTGGCCATAAGTGGTGAGCCGTAAGTGGTCATCTACATGGTAATGATCACACCAATGTATTGTGACCTGTTGCCTCCCTGATGACACCCTGAATACATGCTATGCTAAGCCTGGAGGACATCTCCACTGATGGATTTTGGACTGATGTTTAACAAAGTGGATTTAACATTGCACAGTGGTTTTTGATGGACTATTTGACTCTGTATTAAAGACAGGAACCTATTCTATGGTTCCATGTATTCATGCACTAAAGAACTAACTAACGAACACATTTAACTGTGGTGTCATCAAGAGGGCTGTCCCTGGATTTGGGGGTTTACATGCTTGGTCCCCCATTTTGGTCCCACTCTTGGACCACTTGGGCTGGATGGTAGTCATCTCCTTTCAGGGCAGCCATTCCCCCCCCCCCCCCCCAATTGTCTGCTTCTGAAGAAGTGGACTACTACCCAAGAAACTTGTAGAGCTACACAAAGTCTATCCTAGACCACCTGCTGGATCTAAGGAAAGTTATAGGTGGTTTTATCTGCTAAATTATTATAATACTTATCATGTGATGGTTGTGGTTGTGGGTCTTGGTGTATAGTTTGATTTTAAAATGTCTTGTAACTGATTTTAACTGGTGGTGGATCCATCCTGCCTTGTATCAACGGTTCAGGCTGGTGGTGGTGGTGTCATGGTGTGGGGGATCCATCCTGCCTTGTATCAATGGTTCAGGTTGGTGGTGGTGGTGGTGTCATGGTGTGGGGGATCCATCCTGCCTTATATCAATGGTTCAGGTTGGTGGTGGTGTCATGGTGTGGTGGATCCATCCTGCCTTGTATCAACAGTTCAGGCTGTTGGTGGTGGTGTCATGGTGTGGGGGATATTTTTCTTGGCACTAGCAAGGTGTACCTAATAAAGTGGCCGGTGAGTGTATAGTGACCTGTCAATATATCCATTTTTAGGTTCCCTGAGATCTGAAAATTATTGCAATGGGTTCCTCTGGGGTAAACAAAAGGTTGAGACCAGCTGATCTAACCAATAGCGTGACAACCAAGATATCAAATATGTACTTATCCAATATCCCGGGTCCATTGCTCAACAGAATTGGAATTTTTTTTTTCATTATCAAAGCAAACATTCTGCCACATTACATCTACATGCCCACCTCAGTTTCTGTTGAACGAGAGAAGTTGTCCGGCGCTTTTGCCGAATCCGGCCGCACTCTTTGTAGCTTCGGTAGTACTGCTGGATGAGCACCGCGGCACGCCGGCTCTGCTGAAATTTCTTCTGCTCATAGTAGCTTCTGAACTTGCTCTGGATGAGGATTGCAGCTTGTGTCATCTTTTTATAAAGTGCATACTGGAAAAGAAAGGGATACTACAGTTGGAAATGCAAAATGTTACATTGTATAGAAGTTTAGAGTATTTCCATTCTTTACTTCTAGTTTCCACCTAGACTAGAGGACAGCCACGTAGGTTTTTATACCCCATGGGACATATTTGTACAGTGACTTAATGGTTCACCGACCCCTAAATTGTTGGATATTTTTGTCTCTTCGTTGTCCTGAGCAGAGGTGCTCCAGCCGCAATGCATAATGGTAAACCAGTGAAAGGGGTGTTCACCATTTATATTTATTTATTTCAGGTACTTATATAGCGCCATCAATTTACACAGCGCTTTACATATATATTGTACATTCACATCAGTCCCCACCCCCAAGGAGCGTACAATCTAAGGTCCCTAACTCACATTCATACATACACATACTGGGGACAATTTAGACAGGAGACAATTAACCTACCAGCATGTCGTGGGAGGAAATCAGAGTACCCAGAGGAAACCCACGCAGGTACAGGGATACTCCAGGCAGGTGGTGCTGTGGTTGGGATTTGAACCAATGACCCTAGTGCTGCCAGGTGGAAGTGCTAACCATTTAGCCACAATGCTAAATGGATTTAAAAGGGAGGAGTGGGAAATCACAGACTCAGAACTGTTGCCAAGCAAAGAATCAAGCAGATGATACAAGACTTAAGTGGGCTTGTATGCATTTCCATCTCAAATTTTGAGATGGCATGGGACTGGTGACTCTTATGTGACAGGGTGGGGGGGATTGGGGACTCTCATGTGAAGGGTGGGGATGGAGGGCTGTTATGTGAAAGGATTGGGAACTATCATGTTATGGTTGAGGATTGGAGACTTTCATGTGAAGGGTGGGGATTGAGGGCTCTTATGTGAAAAGGGGGGGGGGGCTTGGGGACCCTCATGTAAAGGGTGGGCACTGAGGACTCCTATGTCAAAGGGTGAAGGGTATTAGGGACCCTCATGTAAAGGGTGCAGACTGAGGACACTTATGTGAAAGGGGAGGGGGATTGGGGACTCTCATGTGAAAAGGGTGGGGATTAGGGAATCTCATGTGAAGGGTGGGGACTGATGACTCTTATGTGAAAGGATTGGGAACTATCATGTAAAGGTTGGGGATTGGAGACTCTCATGTGAAGGGTGGAGACTGGGGACTCTTATGTAAAAGGGTGGGGTGGATTGTTGACTCTCATGTGAAAGGTGGGGGGGGGGGATTGGGGGCTCTCATGTGAAGAGTGGGGGGGATTGAGGGCTCTCATGTGAAGGGTGGGGATTAGGGACTCTCGTGAAGGGTGGGGATTAGGGACTCTCATGTGAAGAGTGGGGACCGATGACTCTTATGTGATAGGGGGATTCTCATGTGAAGGGTGGGGATTGGGGGTTCTCATGTGAAGGGTGATGTGGGTGTAAAGTCCATGCTTGTGTGATGTGTGTTGGCAGGGCCGCTTGAAGTCTCCATCGGGAACGCACGTGACAAAGCAGGAGCACAACTGGGAGAAAGTTGTCACCCAATAACAGGAAGTGCCTAAAGGGCTGCAGACTCCGCCACTTTCCTCATTACAATCCTGCAGGTGCAGCAACTGATTGATAATTATAAAGTCTCTCTCATTTGCATTCATTTTGCACATGACAAGGGGCCAGACAAACAGCTATTTCTTCAGAATAGCAAAAGGTAGCCCCGTGCTGATCCTGGGCCCGTGATATCCTCTCTTTCCTGCTTTTCTCTCTCTCATTTCCCCTCCTTCTCTACTCTTCCTTCCATCTCCGTTTCTCCCTTTACTTTTGTTTTGGCTGATGTTTGTCAGCGGGGATTGCCACTTCATAGAGGACAGTTTGGCGATATGAGCAATGTTGGCCCTGACCTTCCCACTGGTCCTCGTTGGATCTGGTCAGCCGGGAACTCGCTTTGTTTGTTCTGGAAAATTCAATAAATATATTGAATCAGAACAACAAAAGGTAGGAATCTGCAACAAAGTTGGTTAAAATCCCTGCAATGTGCGTAGATCACCCCGGGGGGAGGTTTTTTTGGGTTTTTTTTTTTTTCTAAAAAAAAAAGTGGAGTTACTCTTGGAAGCCAATATTTTGGATTTAGTTGATTGGATATAGATCTACTTTGAATACATTTTTCAAAAGAATCCTTAAGTGAGCTTGGCCATACTGTACGGAGCTCATACAATCTGCGGCGTCAAGCTCGCAGGATTCAGGTGAGTAAATCCAGGCCTTCATTTGGCTGATTGGGAAAATGAGGCACTAATGAAGATAAATCATGCCATAAATAGCCGGTTCCTGAGCGGAGCGTGTGACGCCCACCGCCGCCGTGACTTCCATGTTTGCAGAGAGGTGCAGGGACTGCCGAGAGCCATCTGTCACTCCGCGCTCGCAGCGCCATCAGCGACAATGCAAGCGTATTTATCTGTGGAAAATAGCCGGTCATTGAGAGCTCTTTGTGCTAAAGGTCAGATTTAAAAATAAACCTGAAGACGCATGAAAGAGGCGGCGAGATTAACCCGGGGCTGCCAGTGAGGCTTCAATGAGGTGACAACATTCAACAAGCCCAACCTCTGTGCTGATAGAGAGAATAACTGGCTGATAATGGGACTAAAAGGCACAGAACACCTAGTATATGAGTACACCTAGTATGTGGGTACACCTGGAATATGGGTACACGTAGTATGTGGGTACACATAGGATGTGGGTACAACTAGTATGTGGGTACACCTAGTATATGAGTACATCTAGAATACGGGTACACCTAGTATATGGGTACATCTAGTATATAGGAACACCTAGTATGTGGGTGCACCTAGAATACGGGTACACCTGGAATACGGGTACACCTGGTATATGAGTACACCTAGTATGTGGGTACACTTAGAATATGGGTACACCTAGTATGTGGGTACACCTAGAATACTTGTACATCTGGTATATGAGTACACCTAATATGTGGGTACACCTAGAATATGGGTACACCTAGAATATGGGTACACCTAGAATGTGGGTACACCTAGTATATGAGTACACCTAGTATGTGGGTACACCTAGTATATGAGTACACCTAGTATGTGGGTACACCTAGTATATGAGTACACCTAGTATGTGGGTACACCTAGTATATGAGTACACCTAACATGTGGGTACACCTAGTATATGAGTACACCTAGTATGTGGGTACACCTAGTATGTGGGTACACCTAGAATACGGGTACTCGTAGAATACGGGTACACTTAGTATAGGTCCACCAAGTATACGGGTACACCTAGTATGCGGGTACACCTAGAATACGGGTACACCTAGTATGTGGGTACACCTAGTATATGAGTACACCTAGTATATGGGTACACCTAGTATATGAGTACACCTAGTATACGGGTACACCTAGAATATGGGTACACCTAGTATGTGGGTACACCTAGTATGTGGGTACACCTAGTATCTGGGCACACCCAGCATATGAGTACATCTAGTATACGGGAACACCTAGTATATGGGTACACCTAGTATACAGGTACATCTAGTATATGGGTACACCTAGTATATGAGTACATCTAGTATATGGGAACACCTAGTATGTGGGTACACCTAGAATATGGGTACACCTAGTATGTGGGCACACCTAGCATATGAGTACATCTAGTATGTGGGTACACCTAGTATACGAGTACATTCAGTATATGGGAACACATAGTATACGAGTACACCTAGTATGTGGGCACACCTAGTATGTGGGTACACCTAGTATGTGGGTACACCTAGTATATGGGTACACCTAGTATGTGGGTACACCTAGTATGTGGGTACACCTAACACGGGCCCTAACATGTCCTTACTCCCTCCAAAACTCAAAGTTTTGGCTTTAGACACATTAATTGGTAACATTCGCTTTCTCTTTCACCTTCTGGTCTTTAGGGAGCTAGAAGTTATATTGACAATCCAGGTAACGGCCAGTAGAGGGCCCCCCCAAGAAATCACAAATGTTATATTGATAATGAGGGAGTTCAGGCCGGGAAAGAGGGGGGAAATCTTCCAAGGTGGACATTTGTTAAGCCAAGTACACAAGGGGCTGAACGTTGGGGGGCATTGGCCAGTTTAATAGAAACTGGCCGACATTCGGGCCGTGTGTATGGCAGCCGGTCTGACAGAAGGAGCATGACCAAAAAAAGTCGCCACAACATCCCTTTAAAACTGAAAAAAAACTAGTAGTCAGGGGCAGACTGACAACTCATGGGGCCCCCGGGCAATAGGAAATCATGCGGCCCCTGTGTCCTTGCCCACACTCAAACCATACCCAAAAAAGCCTATGAAAGGTACCAGAGGCATCTCATGGGGCCCCCTACTGACCCCAGGCCCTTGGGAAGTGCCCGAGTGCCTGAATGGTCAGTCCACCCCTGCTTGTAGTGTGTATTAGGCTTTAGGGTGACAATGGTCTATGAAGAGATGTCCCTCACTTTGGCAAGATTTACTCCACTTCCTGTGGTTTCAACAGGACAGGAAGTGAAGGTAAATCTACCCCATGGGATATAGATTGAAAAAAAAACTGTTGGAGGTCTTACCCTACTCTTCCTCTTCCCTACTGCTATTACTTTGTACATTTTGAACTTCAGAACCTTGCTGAAAATGGCTACTACTCAACAGAGCATTACCAGGGTCTACCACAGGAGGCAGCACTTGGAATTTTTAGATTTGCGCACACATACTAGGGCCAATTGGCTCACCAGCATTCATTAGAGTGTCCGAGGAAAGCATAGAACCTATGCAAGCACAGGGGGAATATGCAAACTACATGGATAGTCTCTTGGTCAGGATTCACCCAACCAAGGACACCATTGCTACAAGGATCTCCAGTCACTACAGGTCAGGATCTCGGGGGGGGTGGTAGGGTGGGCTGTGCCCCCCCACCTTCATATTTTAGTTGTACCCCCCAGATCTTTGAGAGTGCATCAACTGATCATGAGACAGTCTGATGGGGGCATTTGATGTAAGGGGGCACTCTGATACAGACAGCTGATGTAAGGGGACAGTCTGATAAAAGCAATCCATGTAAGAGGGCACTCTGGTGGGGATGTCTGATGTAAGGGGGCACTCTGGTGGGGATGTTTGATTTACGGGGGCACTCTGATAGGAACACCTAATGTAAGGGGCTTTCTGATGGGAACACCTAATGTAAGGGGCTCTCTGATGGGAACACCTAATGTAAGGGCTCTCTGATGGGAACACCTAATGTAAGGGGCTCTCTGATGGGAACACCTGATGTAAGGGGCTCTCTGATGGGAACACCTAATGTAAGGGGCTCTCTGATGGGAACACCTGATGTAAGGGGCTCTCTGATGGGAACACCTAATGTAAAGGGCTCTCTGATGGGGACACCTGATGTAAGGGGCTCTCTGATGGGGACACCTGATGTAAGGGGCTCTCTGATGGGAACACCTAATTTAAGGGGCTGTCTGATGGAGACACCTGATGTAAGGGGCTCTCTGATGGGGACCCCTGATGTAAGGGGCTCTCTGATGGGGACACCTGATGTAAGGGGCTCTCTGATGGGAACACCTGATGTAAGGGGCTCTCTGATGGGAACACCTGATGTAAGGGGCTCTCTGATGGGGACACCTGATGTAAGGGGCTCTCTGATGGGAACACCTGATGTAAAGGGCTCTCTGATGGGGACACCTGATGTATGGGCTCTCTGATGTGGACACCTGATGTAAGGGAGTCTCTGATGGAGACAACAGATGTAAGGGGCACTCTGATAGGGACAACAGATGTAAGGGGGCTTTCTGATAGGGACAACAGATGTAAGGGAGTCTCTGATGGGGACTATTGGTTTAAGAAGGCATTCTGATGGGGACAATCCATATATAGAGGTACTGTGATAGGAACATCTGATGTAAGGGGGCACAGTAATGAGGACGTATGATGTAAGGGGGACTCTTTTAGGGACAACTGACGTAAGGGGGAGCTCTGTTGGGGACACCTGATGTAAAGGGAAGCTCTGATAGTGACAGTTGATGTAAGGTGGCATTCTGATGGGGACTATTAGTGTAAGAAGGCATTCTTATGGGGACAATGCATGTATGGAGGCACTGCGATGGAAACATCTGATGTAAGGGGGCACTCTGATAGGGACAACAGATGTAAGGGGCCACTCTGATGGGGACTGTTGGTGTAAGAAAGCATTCTGATGGGGACAATCCATGTATGAAGGCACCATGATAGGAACATCTGATGTAAAGGGGCAATGTGATGAGAACGCCTGATGTAAGGGGCCACTCTCTTAGGGACAACTGATGTAAGGGGGGACTCAGTTGGGGACACCTGATGTAAAGGGGTCTCTGATTGGGACACCTGATGTAAGGTAGCACTCTAATGGGGACTATTGGTGTAAGAAGGCATTTTGATGGGGACAATGCATATATGGAGGCACGGTGATGGGAACACCTGATGTAAGGCGGCACTGTGATGAGGACACCTAATGTAAGGGGGTTCTCTTATGGGGACACCTGGTGCAAGGGGCACTCTGATGGGGACAACTGATGTAAAGGGGGAACTCTGTTGGGGACACCTGATGTAAGGGGGCACTGTGAAGAAGACACCTAAACTAAGGGGGTTCTCTGATGTGGACAACTGATGTAAGGGGGCACTCTGATGGGGACAACTGATGTAAGGGGGTTTTCTCATGGGAACACCTGATGTAAGGGAGAGCTCTGTTGGGGACACCTGATATAGGGGGGCACTATGATGAAGACACCTAAAGTAAGGGGTTCTCTGATGGGGACAACTGATGTAAGGGGGCACTCTGATGGGGACAACTGATGTAAGGGGGTTTTCTCATGGGAACACCTGATGTAAGGGGGTTCTCTGATGGGGACACCTGATGTAAGGGGGTTCTCTTATGGGGACACCTGATGTAAGGGGGAGCTCTGTTGGGGACACCTGATATAGGGGGGCACTATGATGAAGACACCTAAAGTAAGGGGTTCTCTGATGGGGACAACTGATGTAAGGGGGTTTTCTCATGGGGACACCTGATGTAAAGGGGCACTCTGATGGGTAAAACTGATGTAAGAGGGCTCTCTGATGGGGACACCTGATGCAAGGGGCACTCTGATGGAGACAACTGATGTAAGGGGGGAGTTCTGTTGGGAACACCTGATGTACAGAGGTCTCTGAGGGGGACCCTGATATACAGGGGGACTGTTATGGGAGTGCTGATGTAAATGGGGACTCTTATGAGTACCCCTGATTTAAAGATGGTCTCTGATGAGGACACATGGTGTTGACATTGTGCCCCTTGATCAGACAGGCTAGATCCTGCCCTAGGACCCCAGGCTAACCACTAAGCCACTGTACTGTCCCCTATTCTCACTCTTTCCTAAGTTTAATAAACATGACTTCACATATATTTCAGGCAATCACAAGAACACATTTTGAAAATTTGAAACAAGAAAAGAATCATCATCTTGGACTATGAGGTCCTTGCCCATGTCATCCATCAAACCCACAGACACCAATCACCACTACATGAAACATGTTAGTCTTTACCTTCAAGGCTATCCATGTAAGCTTTGGAAAGAAGATTATAAAAGAATTAGTCGGAAAAGTGGAAACAATCATGCAATCCGTTCATCTATAATTATTTGAAGACATAATAAAAATAAAAAGCACAACACACGGGAAGCTTGGTCTGCTATTCCAAGACGCAGAGGACTTCCAACAATCCATCGCTGACCCTATCGTAATTAAGAACCGCGGTTTAATACGCCCGGTCCCCTGACAGCGGCTTCCTATTATGGGCAATCGTTTGGCTGATCTCTGGACTGCCATAGACGCGAGGCGGCCTGTTGGCTTTGATGTTTAATAATTCCAGCCTGTCGTTTTCTGCTTGATTGCTGTTTATGGCGTCCATAAAACTTTAATGTCCGATCCCATTTAGCAATTTTTATTGAATATGCAACAAAGCAAAGTGGGCCTTCGACACATTGTATGCGGATGTTCCTCCAAATTAATTTTATCTCATCGAAGGAAGGAAAAGAAAACGTCAGCGATGCTAACACGACTGTCGTCAAAGGGAACCTGTCACTATGGTAGTTTCTGTAAAGCTGATATACCAAATATATTATAAATGTAAAAAAAAAAATTATATTAACCCAACCCCCCCCCCCAAAAAAAACCCCAAACAAATATAAAGATGCCCAAAGCATTAGTTTTTCTGTCCATCCAGTTCTGAGATTGGCACAGCTGTGCCACACAGCACATCCCAACCTGGCAGGGTACGTGTGTTGGTTCTTCATTTAAGGGGGGAACACAGGCCAGTGATGGGGCATCACATCACCTTCTTGCTGCTTGTCAAAAGCCTCTGAAAAGTGATCCCAATGCATATCACTTTTCAGAGGTATGGTGGTTTAGATGCAAGTCTACACTTAGCCTAAGACAGAGATATAAAGGCAGCAAGAGAGAGGAAATGATAGACAGGAGGGGGGGGGGGGGGGAGAGAGAGAGAGAGAGAGAGAGAGAGAGAGAGAGAGAGAGAAACAAGACAGGCAGAGAGAAAAGGAAGGTAGAGGTAAAAAGCAAGATAGATAGATAGTAGATAAATCCAGATAGACAAGTATAGAGATAGAGAGATCCAGGTTCCATGTAGATATATAGATAGCTCTAGAGCACTGGTGGTCATCTTTCTTGATATGGGGGGGGGGGGGCCTAAGGTGTGGCCTCCAACATAACAAAAAGGTCACACATAAAGCTAGGTGATATTCATTGTCGGAAAATGCGGACATGATACAAGAGATGGTCAGCGACTGCAGACATGATACAAGAGATGGTCAGAGACTGCAGACATGATACAAGAGATGGTCAGAGACTGCAGACATGATACAAGAGACGGTTAGAGACTGCAAACATGATACAGGAGATGGTCAGAGACTGCAGACATGATACAAGAGATGGTCAGAGACTGCAGACATGATACAAGAGATGGTCAGAGACTGCAGACATGATACAAGAGATGGTCAGAGACTGCAGACATACTACAAGAGATGGTCAGAGACTGCAGACATACTACAAGAGATGGTCAGAGACTGCAGACATAATACAAGAGATGGTCAGAGACTGCAGACATGATACAAGAGATGGTCAGAGACTGCAGACATGATACAAGAGATGGTCAGAGACTGCAGACATAATACATGAGATGATCAGAGTCTGCAGACATGATACAAGAGATGGTCAAAGACTGCACACATGATACAGGAGATAGAGAATAAACAGGTGGCGCACACACCTAGTGCATTATCCAAGGTTTATTGAAAGGAGTGAAAAATAAAAACACTCACAGATGAAGCATGTATCTTAAAAGCATTTGCATAATGACGATGGCCACAACGGCAAGCAAGGTGTTCCAACTTGATCACCAGCAAGGCTCCCATCATCCATCCACTACACATCTGCATCAGAGGCTGGTCAGTAGCTTTGAGGAAAGGGATTCGTCCCCGAAACGCGTCAGACATTTGATAGCACTGACAGTTGGAACACCTTGCTTGCCATTGTAGCCATCGTCATAATGCAAATGCTTTTTAGATACATGCTTCGTCTGTGAGTGTTTTTATTTTTCACTCCTTTCAATAAACCTTGGATAATGCTCTAGGTGTGTGCGCACCTGTTTATTCTTTATCTAGTGGCTGATCTCCCCATCTGAGGAGGGCTTCACCCCTGAAGCATGACCACTGCACCATAGATAGGCTTGTCCACTCCTACTTCCACCATTGCCTATCCATACCACTCCAAACCCCCCCTTTAACCAAATAAACTTTTACAAAAACATGACACCATTTGGAGTAAATGGCCAACATGGCCTTTTATTAGCAACTTCACATTTTAACATACATCAACCGTTCCTTAACGGAAACCAAAGAATTGTTATTGGTCTTCAAAGGCACCCACAAACGATCCAAAATGCACCTGCGGACAACCCTATACACTAGGCCTCCAGCCGCAACCAACCAGCTCGGAGACAACCATACCGTCCGCAGTGCAGCACCACCACCTTCCAGTTAAACCTTGGTTAACTGGGAATATCCACCGGGCCCCCCATACCACGGATGGGGTCCCACACCATTGTTTTCCTTCCAAGATGAGAACCGCCTCCAAAGACCAACAACCGCCCACGAACCAACATAAAACCCACCTCTCCAACCAGTGTCACCTTTTTTTTTTTTTTTTTTTTTTTTTTTTTCGAGTTTCCTGCGCACCTGCCCCCGGACAAGACCCTATACCCAACCTAACAGGGAGGGCGGGAGGGAATGTCTGTTCCTTGCACCCATCCAGCTGCACTGACGCCCCTTCCGCAGCAACCCCCACCCTACGGTGCCACAGACACCTCCTACACTCCACATCTGCCAATCCCGTAATTCCCAATCCATTCCCCACCCCTTGGAGCTAAATGTTTAACCCTTTCCGTTCCCTACACCACTCTGGGCCTAGTCATGTATGCCCTGCGCTATTTCCATTCTTCCCTATTCGCTACGGGCATTTCTTTTCCTTTGGTTGTCGCTGTCCTGGTTCCCTTGGCTTCCCTTTTGGCTGTGCATTGGAGAGTACATACGATATCCGGTAGGATACAAGAGATGGTCAGAGACTGCAGACATTATACAAGAGATGGTCAGAGACTGCGGACATGATACAAGAGATGGTCAGAGACTGCAGACATGATACAAGAGATGATCAGAGACTGCGGACATGATACAGGAGATGGTCAGAGACTGCAGACATGATACAGGAGATGGTCAGAGACTGCGGACATGATACAGGAGATGGTCAGAGACTGCAGACATGATACAGGAGATGGTCAGAGACTGAAGACATTATACAGGAGATGGTCAGAGACTGCAGACATGATACAAGAGATGGTCAGAGACTGCAGACATTATACAGGAGATGGTCAGAGACTGAAGACATTATACAGGAGATGGTCAGAGACTGAAGACATTATACAGGAGATGGTCAGAGACTGCAGACATGATACAAGAGATGGTCAGAGACTGCAGACATGATACAAGAGATGGTAAGAGACTGCAGACATGATACAAGAGATGGTCAGAGATTTCAGAGAGAGAGAGAGAGAGGGGGGGAGAGAGGGGGGGTAGGGGGAGAGAAAGGGGGGAGAGAAAGGGAGAGATGGCGAGAGGGGGGAGGGGGGGGGAGAGAGGGAAAGAGAGAGAGAGAGAGGAGGGAGTGGGGGAGAGAGGGGATAGAGAGAGAGAGAGGGAGGGAGTGAGAGAGAGAGAGAGAGGGAGAGGGGGAAGAGGGAGGGAGAGGGGGGAAGGGGGAGAGAGGGGGGAGGGGGAGGAGAGAGAGAGGGGGGGAGAGGGGGGGAGGGGGGAGGAGAGAAAAGAGGGGGGAGGGGAGGGAGAGAGAGGGGGAGAGAGGAGGGAGAGAGAGAGGGGGGAGAGGGGAGGGAGAGAGAGGGGGGGAGAGAGAGAGGGGGAAGAGGGGAGGGAGAGGGAGGGGGAGAGAGAGGGGGGGAGAGGGGAGGGAAAGGGAGAGAGATTTGTTCATCCAACAAATGGCTGGAAAGTAACTTATCATTTCTCTGATTAGCTGCATTTAGTCTTTTCATGTAAAGTCTAAAAATAATTTCATTAAAAAGAATGTATAAAAAGCAGATGAATTAATATTCGTCTCTCGTCTGAGTAAGCTTCGATTGGATTGATATTTTTAGCGCTCAGCCCATTAAACTCCTCTCTCATTTTACCTTGAAGAGTCTGCCAGGCCAAAGACCGCAATTCCCTTTTCATTGATGCCAATTACAAACACCCCGCGGACCGCATTCCCTTCTGTTTTGAATTCATCCGAACGGCGGCTTTATAAATAGGAATCAGTTCATTTCACTTCCAGCTAAGTCGGTCTGTTCTGCTAATTTAGTCGTCTCTTTTCAACGGGAGTAGACTGAAACAAAGAGCTAAAAGTGGATCGCAAACACGGCGCGTCCGCCATGGCTTATTGTCACGGCTCAGCGAATCATTTCCGATAAGCGCGGCGTCTACGTATTTATTTTTACCCCCAGTGTGTCTGTGACGATGAAAGTAGATTTGAAATAAAAGACAATGAATGTGGATGGGGACGCATTATTTTTGGAGTAAGATGTCCTACAAGAAAGGCTCGTTTCTTGTGTTTTAAACAGCATGGAAAATATTTTCGGCTTTATTATCATTTTATATCCATGTGGCTTTAAAGCTACGACTTCATTGTATATACTGAACATGTTTCTCTTTTATTCATTTTAAAGTATATACCTGATATGTCACAATATACAGCAGTGTAAAAAAGAGCATGGGCTCCATATCTTATCATTAAAAAGCAATCTTTGAACTCCTGCCAAATGACTGTGACTAGGCTTAGATGTGTCTTCAGTCTGCTGCAGGCAGGGAGAAAAATTTCCTTAGTCTCCGTCAGGGAACAGATTGCAATATTGTGACCAGGGGCGGACTGACAACTCATGGGGCCCCCGGGCAATAGGGGATCATGGGGCCCCTGTGTCCTTGCCCAAACTCAAAAAAGTCTATGAAAAAGGCACCAGGGGCATCTTATGAGGCCCCCTACTGACCCCGGGCCCTCGGGCAGTGCCCGAGTTTCCAAATGGTCAGTCCGCCTCTGATTGTGACTTTGTAGCATGTCTCAGGGTCAGAGAGAATTGCACAGGAACCACGACAAAGCAGCAAGTTGACCTAAATGTAGCTCCTCCATACTTTATGCCCACCTTCCTTTTAGTGCCCCCCGATTGAAGGCTCACACCTATGCGTGTTGGGAATAAATGCAAAATGGAGTGCTTCATCATCATGAAGAGAAACGCGTTGCCCCCTTAGGGCTCATTTAAAAACTTCTACCTATTAACATTCCTCTTTAATTCCATGTTCTTATTGGATGGCCCTAGGCAATGAACCAGTTCCACTTTCCAGCAATATTATACCCTGCTCAAATAAAACAGTTTGCAAGGAAAAGCCTGTTTAGCACCGAATTTACACCGGGACCAGAAATATTATTATTCTTTTTATTATTGTACGTCGGCAAATGCCAAATTACCTGTTTGTACTTTCTGTAGCAGCGTTGAATGACGGCGGCAGCCACGTCCTGTTGTTCTCTCAATGGACGACCCTGGGTGGTGGAAGAAAGGATCAGAGTAAGTGCAGATAGGGATTCTTCTGAAGGACCTGCTGAAGTATCCCTATCACAAGCAGGGGGTGATGAGGAAAAGGGTTCCTTTGAAATAACAAAATGGATACTTTTGTTACTGGGATCTGTATTCTCCAAAATGAGGGGTACTGGAAAGTGGGTAGGGGTGGAACCAAGTGATGGTGCTCGGAGGTGGGTAGGGGTGGAACCAAGTGATGGTGCTCGGAGGTGGGTAGGGGTGGAACCAAGTGATGGTGCTCAGAGGTGGGTAGGGGTGGAACCAAGTGATGGCGCTCGGAGGTGGGTAGGGGTGGAACCAAGTGATGGTGCTTGGAGGTGGGTAGGGATGGAACCAAGTGATGGTGCTCGGAGGTGGGTAGGGGGCCCAGTGACTCAGAAGCGGGGAGTTCCTGTACATATTTTTTCAGAAAAAAAAGCCCTGGTTAACTATATCTTGTTTATTAGTTTGTTCAGGTAAATTAAAAGGTATGTGTACCCCCTCCAAATGACTGAATTCAAGTTTTTCCACTGAAGGGTACTATTGATGCATTTTAACCAATTATGTGCTTTGTTACCTTGTGGCAACAGTTTGGGGAAATGACTGTTCCTCTGTGTGCAAAGCCATGATTTGATCAATTTGGTTTTGCAGAACCTGAGAGTCCTACACAGAGCCCCGAACTCAACCCTACTGGACCCGTTTGGGATGACTTGGAATTCCAAGTGCAAGCCAGTTCTTCTTGTCCAACATAAGTACCTGACCTTACAAATGCTCTTTTGTCTGAATGGGCATCAATTCTCACAGACACGGTCTAAAATCTTGTAGAATTTTTAGTGAGTTTATCCGATTATGGAGACTGGAGGGGCCAAATAATTCCAAAGCTGCCAGTTAGTCTACATATAATTGGAACGGGGTAAACTCCAGGTTTGTGTTAGCAGGACTTGTTAAATACTTGGCCAGCTTCATTCAATGAATTAGTCAGAAGAAACAGAAATGGACTTTAGAGGGCACAAAAACTAGGTACAAGTATAAATAAACAACCCCAAAACCCGCTCTTTTATTCATTCAATGAATGTTCTTTAGCAGTTTTCAATATCAACACCCATGATCTCACGCCAGGTTCTGCTTAACAGTTCTTAGAAGATGTCCATGAAGAGGACATCAGATCATGAACTTCCTAGCTGGAACTTGAAAATCTTGTGATGGTCCTCATGTCTACTGGTATTTACAGACTACTGCAGCAAACAACCTGATCTTGAGAGAACTAATGATTGGAAGTGCTGGAGATTTTGGAATGATTGCTTTTGTTACCCCAGGAACGGACAGCGCCATAGTTGATGGCTCAGGACCCCTACTCCCTCCTTCATATACTTAAAGCTTGGGCTGTGTGTGTTTGTGTCACGATCTGTTAATAAAAAAAAATCTTCAAACAACTGGGTCAGGTCAAATATCCTTCTAATATCTATTTCTAATATTGACATGACTTTAAAGAAAACAGTTCAATAAATATTAGTCCACAGGACTGACGTGAAAAAGGTTCAAGGCCCAGAGCTATGGTATTAAAACACGGCAGTTTTGGCGCACCTTGTATTTTCGGAACACGGTCTGGACAAGTTTAGCAGCTTCATAGAGTTCTCTCTGTTCGTGATCCGAGAGGGTCAGCTGGGCAAATTCATTCTCAACCTTCTCATTGGTGGATGCGCTCAGGAATTCCGACCAATCGGCAGCAGTTGGCAGACTGGGTTTCTCAAAGGTGGTTTCACTCACAGGGGAGCAGGCAGGGCTTAAGCTGGTGTTCGAAGAAGGTGTCAGCGGTTCGCTGTAGAGCGACCTGTGTAGAACAAAATCATTCTTTGTAAATATTTTAAAGTTCTGCTAAACCCCAAACTTTTTTCTTCTTGGGCAAAGTTGGGAATAGTTAGCAGCCAGGGGCGGACTGACAACTCATGGGGCCTCCGGGCAATTGGGGATCATGGGGCCCCTGTGTCCTTGCCCACACTCAAAACACACCCAAAAAAGCCTATAAAAAGGTACAGGGGCATTTTATGGGGCCCCCTGCTGACCCCGGGCCCTCGGGCAGTGCTCGAGTGCTCGAATGGTCAGTCTGCCCCTGTCAGCAGCCCCGGCAAATCTGTCAGGTTTGTTGTCTGAGTCCCCTGGGGGGGGGGGGTTCTCTTTGTTTGTCCTACTAACCATTGTCACCAGAACTGAAAATGAGGGAATAGGGAAAAAGGAAGAGGAAACTCTTCCACTGGGGACACTTGTTGAGATGACAACCATCTAGGATGGTCTTCCCTTTACTGTGGATGGATTTTATCTCACTTCCTGTGGTAGCATTGCTAGTTACATTTAACTTTCTCGTAACCACATCTTAAGGCGGAGTTCCACCTAGAAAAAAAAAAGTCAGCAGCTACAAAAATTGTAGCTGCTGACTTTTAAAATACAGCCACTTACCTGTCCCTTGGTCCAGCTTTGTCCTCACCATGTCTGGTTTCACCAGCCGTCTTCTCTCCCTGGGGCCGGCATCTTCAGTGTGGGCACCCGGCTGTGACAGCTTGCGGCTTCACAGCCGGGTGCCCACTGCGTATGCGCGAGAAGCGATGCGCTTCCTGAATGTCCCCGTAGTCTTCTGGGACCTGTCACGTTTCCTAGAAGATTACGGGGAGGGAGGGTAGGAGGACAACTTCCCCTTCCAATCTTCTAGGCCAGGGGTGTCAAACTGGTGGCCCTCCAGCTGTTGCGAAACTACAAGTCCCATCATGCCTCTGCCTTTGGGAGTCATGCTTGTAACTGTCAATCTTGCAATGCCTCATGGGACTTGTAGTTTGGCAACAGCTGGAGCGCCGCCAGTTTGACACCCGTGGCCTAGGCGATCGCAGCGGAAGTGGGAGCGGGTACCTGTCAAATTGGGGTACCCGCACCCCAATGGTGCAATCCTTAATGGGGAGCAGGGGACCAAGGCTTAAAGCAGAACTTCCCCTTTTGGGCGGAGCTCCACTTTAAAGTGGAACTTTCGGCATAAAAATGCTAAGAGATACATACTTTGCATGTCTCTTCTGCTAAGAAAAACCCTTCTTATCTGCTACCATTTTTTTTCTGGGTAAACTCCAGCCAATTTCCAACATCTGTAAGATCTAATGGATGGAACCAGGACAATGGACAATGGAACCCCTACATGCATACCCAGTGGGATCCAGTTACCCCCAGCCACAGATCAATACTAAACTTGCTTTAGAATACAGGGTTCGCAGAGAACCAGGGTGCACTAACCCATGGCAACCAATCACAAATTCACTTTCATTGGCACAGAATCAGTAGTTTACTGAAGCTGACCAGTGGCTATCTCTGAAAATCTACAATTTGGCTATTTACTCACCGTATCTGTGCAGCACTGGGTAAGTGATCAACATCAGCGAGGTAACTGGCCAGCCAGCTCATGGTAGTACTAAAAGCAGCAGGGTCTGCCCTCTCCACCAATGGGGACTCCATGGGTACAAAATTCTCCCGCTTGATGCGGTCAGGAGTTGCTTCAATGATCTGTTCTGCCAAATTCATCATGTTGACCTGGGTGAGAGAAAGACAAAGTAGAACCAAGCATGGGCAGTGTGGAAAAAAGCTTTTTTTGGGCAGCGTCCAGGTGCCTCTAACTAGGAGGTACATATGAGCAATTCTGAATTTTAGCTTTTGTCTTTGGCTCCTCCTCAGCTCTATAACAGACAGAAAAAAAACCCACCAGCCAATGGTTGTCTGCTTACAAGGTCTAAGTGACCTTAACTGTAGCCCATGATATCATCAAAGGACCGCACATAGTAGCCAGCATACGTAATGCTATAGAACAGCGGTCTCCAAACTCTGTGGTCCTTTCTTAGCTTTTATCTGGCCCTTGGGGCACTTTATTTCCACTGGTACCAACAGTGGGGCATATTTCCTGCTACTGACACCAATGATGGGGCACTATTCCTACCACTAATACCAATGATGGAGCACTATTTCTCCCACTGACACCAATGATGGAGCACTATTTCTCCCACTGATACCAATGATGGGGCACTATTTCTCCCACTGACACCAATGATGGAGCACTATTTCTCCCACTGACACCAATGATGAGGCACTATTCCTCCCACTGATACCAATAATGGAGCACTATTCCTCTCACTGATATAAATGATGGGACACTATTCCTCCCACTGATACCAATGATGGGGCATTATTCCTCCCACTGATACCAATGATGGGGCACTATTCCTCCCACTGACACCAATGATGGGGCACTATTCCTCCCACTGACACCAATAATGGGGCACTATTCCTCCCAGTGACACCAATGATGGGGCACTATTCCTCCCACTGATACCAATGATGAGAGACTATTCCTCCCACTGATAATAATGATGGGCACTATTCCTCCCACTGACACCAATGATGGGGCACTATTCCTCCCACTGACACCAATGATGGGGCACTATTCCTCCCACTGACACCAATGATGGGGCACTATTCCTCCCACTGATACCAATGATGGGGCACTATTTCTACTACTGATACCAATTATGGGGCACTATTCCTCCCACTGATACCAATTATGGGGCACAATTCTTCTCAGTAACACCAATGATGGGGCACTGTTACATCTCCTACTGATCACAGGCGCTTTGTATCTGATCTCCAAGTCTGAGGCATTATTTACCCTCACTGATGCCAGTCCAGGGACATTTTCTACTCCTACTGGCCACAGTCAACAGGCCCTTTGTTTTTAAAGTTTGGTGCGTGTACTTGGAAATCTGCTGCAGACTGTCTAACTGCAGCCAACGCCACCATCCAAGGGCCCCGCTTAGTATTCAGTAAATGTAATGCTACAAAAGATTGTGAGAGACAGTGAACAGGTGTTTCAAGTCTTTTGAGGCCCATGCATTGAAGGCAATACTTCCCTCCATGTTAGCCATCGCTACTATGGTGAACCAAGGGGCGGACTGACAACTCATAGGGCCCCTGGGCAATAGGGGATCATGGGGCCCCTGTGTCCTTGCCCAAACTCAAAAAAGCCTATGAAAAAGATACCAGGGGCATCTCACGGGGCCCCCTACTGACCCCGGGCCCTCGGGCAGTGCCCGAGTTTCCAAATGGTCAGTCCGCCCCTGGGTGTACCCTAAGGAACTATAAAAGGCAGCTAAAAAGTAGCACCCATCCGGCATTTTTGGAATCTCCATCTTCTGTTTGATGTCTCCAAGGCCTGAATTCAGGGCAGGTATACATCCTCTTGATGTGAGTGGCAGCAGCTTACCTACTGTATCTTGTTAGAGTTATGAAGTATCACTATGAATGGAGCTGGCATACAGAGCACATTCATCACTGCAGCTTGGCCGCTGTCTCAGGGGGTTCCGGAGATAATGAACTCCGCGATCAATCTCCAGACGCTTGAACGAGGATGCTGCCAGTTTCAGAGGAATTTACTGCAAGGGCTGATCAAGCCGTGACAACCGCGAGCTCGACCTCTACTGGGCTCTACATGCCGAATGGCAACACCACAAGACCAAGAAATGTCGGAAAAGAATGTCAAGGCAAGAAATAGGAATAAAAAAAAAAAAGGCACAGTACTGCAATGAAGGACTAGTTCAATTAACACTTCTGCACATTTTTAAATAAAACAGCCGCCCTGTGATGACAGAGGATGCATAGTTTCCATGCTGATCCAGCCAACTTTTAAGGAAAGCCAAAGAAAGAACTACAGGGCTGGGACAAGGGATGGGCAGAGGGGACGGCTGCCCTGTGCGCAGCAGTTTATTGCAGGGCAGGGGGTGCCATGTAGTGAGCTCATTATGATACAAGGCTGACAGGAGTAGTGACAGTGGCATCATTACTGTCAGCCTAGTGCTGGAAGTGGCCAGGGAAGAGCAGGGAGGAGGTGCAGGTTGTGCTCTCCCTCTTCTTCTTGCCAGAGCCAGAGAAGAGCAGGAAGGAGGTGCAGGTTGTGCTCTCCCTCTTCTTCTTCTGCCAGAGCCAGAGAAGAGCAGGGAGGAGGCGCAGGTTGTGCTCTCCCTCTTCCTGCCAGAGCCAGAGAAGAGCAGGGAGGAGGCGCAGGTTGTGATCTTGCTCTTCTTCTTCCTGCCAGAGCCAGAGAAGAGCAGAGAGGAGGCGCAGGTTGTGCTCTCCCTCCTCTTCTTCCTGCCAGAGCCAGAGAAGAGCAGGGAGGAGGCGCAGGTTGTGCTCTCCCTCTTCTTCTTCCTGCCAGAGCCAGAGAAGAGCAGGGAGGAGGCACAGGTTGTGTTCTCCATCTTCTTCTTCTTGCCAGAGAAGAGAAGGAAGGAGGCGCAGGTTGTGCTCTCCCTCTTCTTCTTCTTGCCAGAGCCCAAGAACAGCAGGGAGGAGGTGCAGGTTGTGCTCTCCCTCTTCTTCTTCTTCCTGCCAGAGCAGCACTCCTGTATTAAGAAGCCAGCATCTGTGTGTATCGGAGTACGGGATGGAATGGAAGGAAAAAAAAGGGTGAGAGAACAGAACCTGCACCTCCTGCCTGCTCTCACCTGGCGGCTTGCAGCACTGGGCTGATAGGAGTTGTGATGCTGCTGTCACTAAAAGGGGGGGGATGCAGTTAGGCATCTTTGCCATGGGCGCTGGATGACCTTGTCCCAGCACTGCTTCTGGTCTGGAGACTTGTCCTGGGCCACTGGCTCAATGCTTTGAAGCCACTGGATGAGAATGACAGATAACTAGCATTCTCAAAGCAAGAGCATGGTTGGGTGCACCGTGGTGCGGCAGAAGAAAACACTCAGATTCCCAATGTAGAGAGACAGGACTATATTGTACTTAAAGTTCGGTAATATATAACAGGCCCAGTGGGAAGGCAACACAACCTGGAGAACTCAGAGCAGAGAACAGCGATGTCTCAGTAGAATTATGCCTCAGTTGTACCGACAGCGTCTGTCTCAAGTTAGAATGCAGCCTGGCCGGTCTGTACTTAAGTGGGAAGGCTTCCAGAAAGATGGCCTGTCCCTGCACTTTTCCTACTCCTCCAGAACCTCTCCCTGACGCTAGGCACTTTCTCTTCCAGACGGGTAACCTGTCCCTACTCTATACACACACAAACTGGGTGCCAAACTCAGGAGCCAGGGTCTTAAATAGTCACTGCCTGACCCAAGATGCCCACCCAAGTCACATGGAGTGCCAGCATCCAATTGGATGTTGCCTTTCTGTGACCAAGGAAACCATAGAGGAACTAGGTTCCTCTCGAATTCCTCCTCCACTTGCATTTCCACTACGGCTGAGCGCCACCTGCAGAGGAGAAAACAGACTGCACCTGCCTACAAGTGATAAGAAATAGCAACCTCTCTCAGGACAGATTTCCAATCAATTGTATACTAGACCGACACTTTAAAAAGAAGTCATCAGTACATATCATTTCTAGGAGTATATCCTAGGATTTAAGGGACACTTTTAGACGGTCTGTAACCCTTTCATGCCCACAGCTAATTGAAGCCCGGGTCAAATTTAACATTTTTAGATCACCTTGGTTAACCAGTAATTTGCATACCTTAATCATTTTTATGTATATTTTTAAAAATGTATTTGGTTTTAATACTGTAATTGTATCTGACAATTAGGGTATTAAATAGAAATTCACTGCCATATGCCAAATACAGTACGTAGTCTTACCTGTAGGTCATCCATATGTTGCAAGCAGTCTTCGTTCTCCATGTTCTCCCTGTAGGCTAGGAGGTCAGCGTCTACCATTTCTCGCTCTGACATCATCAAAACGTTCATCTGCTCGCTCCGACGCAGCCTATGGCTCATAGTGTCCTTCCCGTGCCCTGTGACCTTTGCACTTCCCGTTACCTGTGCCGCAGAAACCCCCAGGTACAGGTCTTTGGGGTTCCACTTTGGAGCTCTGTAGACAGAGGCATCTTGCGGTGCGCTGCGGCAGTTCCCTGGCGAAGTGGCGCATTTCCTCACTGTGAGCGGTGTCTAACAAAGGCTGCTTGGTTCCGGAGCTCTGCTTTCTGGAAGATGGCTGCTCCAGGCTCAGAGCTGTCGCAATCATCTTCTCCTGTCGGGCCTGAAAATACTCAGGGTTTAATTTGTGTTTTTTAGCAGCAGGGTAATCTTTTGGGTTCTCACTACTGTAGTAGTTGGAGGGCTCGGACCTTGGTCTTCTTAATTCTGTAAGATATGATATAGTAATAAAAACACGTGATACGGATAGCAAAGGGAGCAATGTAGTCAACATTTAGGCCATAAACACAGTTTCTTGGCCACCACGACATTCCTTGCCTTTATTTACTACCTGTGTATTACATTCTGTACAGAGCGAGCCTTAAAATATAACCAAACCCAAGAAAAAAAATATTTTTCAGCTTACTGGTTTTTTAGATGTGGTGGCTGCATTTGTTTTCTTTTTTCAAGCTAAGAACATTTTGACAAGTGCAGAAAATACCTCTTCATCTTGCTAGAAATGCAAACACTGCCATTCCTGGGTCCTAAGTAGGTCGACTGGTCTGTATCTGAATTGCACGGCAACATTTGTTTATTGATTATGGAATATTGATGTATGGTCTGTCTATCTATCTATCTATCTATCTATCTATCTATCACAGAGCTGGCCCTCCCCCCCCATCCTCTAGGCTTGCTGCCTGCCACCCCCCCCACCCCTCAGCAGGCCCTCACTCTTCTGTCCCGTCCATGCTGGGACTTCTAGTCCTCCGTATCCCTGACACAGGCAGCCCTAAGCAGCCCCTCACCCTCCTGTTGCCTGCAGTCTGGCCCCCTGCTGAGGGAATCCACAAACAGGCCCCCACCCCCCTCCCTTCCCCCTCCTGCACATCTTCCATGCCGGACAGGGACAAAGGCCTTGTTCCCTGGGTGGTTCAGAGACCTGGGGGACAGGGCCCATTGCCATGGTAACCTGACAGGAAGTCTCGGGTTACCACTGCAGCAGCACGGCGCCCAGCTCTGTACTTAAGAGAGAGCAGGGCAACCCCCCTGGTGTTCTCTTGACTGCGTGTGTGAGAGAAAGCTGTGCTGCAGTGCCAGTTTCTCTCATATGATCATCCTCCGGCCCCCTTCTCCTCTGCCTGCCTGACCTGACTGCCCGTCTGCTTCTGGATCCTTCTCCTGTGGGGGGTGAACTCTCTGCTGCCTGGAATCCCTTCCCTGCCTGGATTTAACCTCTTGTTCCCTGTGAGCCTGCGGGCTGGACACCTTCTCTGCCTGGATTTAACTCTTTGTTGCCCATGAGCCAGACGGACTTAACCCTTCCCTGCATGGAGCTGCCTGTGTGAATTGACCCTGTGCTGCATGTGTGGACTGTAGCCCTCTGTGTCCGGCTCCCCGCATCCAGTAAGTGGACTAACCCCGTGCTGCCCAAAAGACTGAGCCCAATTCTCCCCAGGAACCCGAAGTCCCACATAACCACCCCGCCCTTGCCTTACTGAACCCTGTGGATTACCATACCCGTGTTGTTTCATATTGCCTTCCAGAGAACTTTACTGTGTTGCTGTGTCTGGTGTGGATCTGTGGACTAAAGGAACTGTTGTCTGTGCCCCCAAAAACCTCCCCAATAAACGCCCGCACTTCGGGTTCCGTGCAATCCGTCTCTGTGTGCTCTCTGGTTCTCTTGACACTCTCTATCTATCTATCTATCTATCTATCTATCTATCTATCTATCTATCTATCATCTATCTATCTATCTATCTATCTATCTATCTATCTATCTATCACAGGAGGGTCATATGAGGATGCATCAATTATTTTGTAGACTGGAATAAACAGACAAGTTAAGTGCTAAGTGGCAATTAAAGTTGGGCGATCAGCTGTTTTTAACACGATAATAGCATTATAATTCTTCATTTACATTTTCCTATCACCCTACAAATAACATAGCAAGCCACTAGAAACAATTGCGAGTGTTCTATTGACCACAGTAGGGAAGCCTTCGATTTTTTTTTCTTTCCAGGTCCCCTTAGCTCAGGGGTGTCCAAACTATGGCCCTCCAGGTGTTGAGGAACTGCAAATCCCATGAGGCATTGCAAGACTCTGACATCCACAGGCAAGACATCCAGAGGCAGAGGCATGATGGGACTTGTAGTACTTCAACAGCTGGAGGGCAATAGTTTGGACACCCCTGCCTTAGCTACTGCAGAGGAAGACATCGCTACATTCCCTGCTTTTGGTAACCCTTGTACTAGTAGCTTCTTGAAGATGTCCTAAATTTTAAATTGAGGTCTATCCTTGGTAAGTGAGCCCATCAGCTTGTAGAAAGCAGTTTCTGAGGGGTTCCCATTCTAAGTCATCTAACCTGCAACAACTCTGCAAGGTTGGCCAAGTCTTCACCCCAAAGACTTTGCTGATCTCTTCCATCACAGCTCCAGGCCAGGCAATCCCAAACTGGAGGCATGTTATGTTACCAGGGGCGGACTGACAACTCATGGGGCCCCCGGGCAATAGGGGATCATGGGGCCCATGTGTCCTCACCCACACTTAAACCACACCCAAAAAAGCTTATGACAGGTACCAGGGACATCTCATGGGACCCCCTACTGACCCCGGGCCCACGTGCAGTTCCCGAGTTCCCAAATGGTCAGTCCGCCCCTGTTTCTTACAGCTTGTTGGTAATTTTTTGATGACCTCTGTACCTCTACTTTCCCTCCCTAATGGCTTCTTTTAGGATTCAAGTTGGCAGTAGATTTCGTCTGGTTAAAAACCAAAAGACTCCTTAAAAAAGGAGGTAAAATGAAAAGGTGGTTTTCCAAGAATTCAGAAATTCAAGGATATACTTGGATCCATTCATAGCTATAGTTTAGATTTTCACCACATCACCTCCTCCTGTCTTAGATGTTACAATTCATAGAAACTACAATATAAAAAAAAACGGATGAGTTTACATCCAATTGTTCATCCATTTACATCTGTTTTTCATCCGTTTACATCCCTTTTCATCCATTTTTGGTCCTCTTACATCTGTTGACATCAGTTTTTCGTCACGGACAGATGAAAAACGGCCATACGGAACGCGTGTGAAAGGGGCCTTAGGGTATTTTGGTCCCTAACAGCTGTTCTAATTCCCTGGAAGCAATATTGTTGCAGTAGGAAAGATCTTCATCCATAACCACCAAGGTAACGTTATCTACACACCCAAACAATAGGTCAAGGATGTCATTTAAACTACAATCACATGAAGGTTATGGAATTTTTACCTGTGTTGATATTTGATATAACTGTGACTCCCTTCTGAGACTCTTGAGCACTGATTGCCCCACTCTGCCATTGGCTTAGCCAGCTATCTGCATTGGCATCCGGGGTAGGAGAGCACTGAACCTGGGGGTTGTGCCCCAGCTGGGATTGCTCCTCCCTCTGTAGTTGTTCCAGACATTCTGCCAGCTTCACATGTCCCCGGGAACGTGCGATAGATAGAGGGAGCCGACCAAGAGAGTCAGGAATGGAGAGAGCCCGCCGATCCCATTTATACAGCACTACGGCAGCCTCGGTATGACCCAAAGCGCAGGCCCACATCTGTAAAAAGAAGCGAATGGTCATGGTCTAGGTTCCAAGGTGTTCCAAAAGTTGACCTGTGCCAGCTCAGGTCAAGTTCACTGAAAAATGGATATTTTATACAGCGTGGAATATTATTATACTGTATCATGCATAAGCAGTCATAACCGAAGGCTTTAACTACAGAGAGTGGAGAGATGACAAATGTTCCGGTACCCATGAGAGCAGGAGGCCCAACCAAGATTGCCCATTCCTTATTAACCCATGGTGTGCTCACATTACATCAATGAGATCATCTGGCCTACATAACCAACTGCGTTCTCTATGAACCAAGATTAACAACTCAGACGTCATGCTCTTCCTCACTGCATGAAATATGACACTGCGGCAGATAGACATGATTCATACCGCCCAACTTTCTGAGATGAGAAAGAGGAACACCTTTTAACATAAATTATGTAGAGGACACACCCTGCTACATTAACTTATTACCACCCCCTCAACACAGATGTGTACCATCAAAGAGGGTAGGCACACATAATCATCCATGGGTGGTGGAGGTCTCTGTGCTGAGAGCGCGCTCAATGCACACTCCCAGTACATGGCCAAGCTGTCAAAGTGTCTAGTAATGGTAGGACCAGCTCTCAATCAAGTGACCACTGTAGAAGCCATTCTTCACCTGTCAAACACACTCTGAAATCCACCGAGGATCGCTCTTCAGAAACGGGAACATTTATAGATGATCTTTCATTTTAACTGGAAGTGTGACTACTTTCTTTACTTTTGCAATTGAACCACTTGGTGGGCTGGCACCCAAGTCTGGACTGTACGGGCAAGTATATCTGCAGCGTAGCCTTAGATTTTTTATGCCCTGTTACAACGCGTTGCATAACAGAACTCTCCTAAGGACTAGGTCTGGACCAAGGATGTTTGAGGCCTTCAGAAGTATACAACGACTTCCCTCCATGCCATGCCTCCATGGTCTACTCTTCTAAGTGACAAGGAACCTATGTTAGGGCACACTGCAGAACGGAACTCTCCTAAGGGCTGGGTCTAGACCAAGGATGTTTGAGGCCTTCAGAAGTATACAACAGCTTCCCTCCATGCTAAGCCTCCACGGTCTACTCTTCTATGCAACAGGGATCCTATGTTAGGGCACACTGCAGAACGGAACTCTCCTAAGCTGGGCCTTGACCAAGGATGTTTGAGGCCTTCAGAAATATACAACTTCCCTCCATGCCATGCCTCCACGGTCTACTCTTCTAAGTGGCAGAGATCCTATGTTAGGGCACGTTTTAGAATGGAGCTCTCCTAAAAGCTGGGCCTGGACCAAGGATGTTTGAGGCCTTTGGAAATATACAGCAATGTCCCTCCATGCCATGCCACCATAATGTACTCTTCTAAGTGACAGGAATTCTATGTTGGGGCCCACTGCATAACAGAACTCTCCTATGGCCTGGGCCTGGACCACTGATGTGCAAGGCATTTGGAAATATACAGCAGCTTTCCTCCATGCCATGCCTCTATAGTCTACTCTTCTAATTGGCAGGGACAGTAGTGCATTAGGTTTTGTGCTGCTCTAGGCAACACAAAAAGCAGACCCCCCTTCCAGGCAGAGAGAGAGCCTGACACCGACCAGCACCAGACCCCCCCCCCCCCCAACTATGCAGAGGGAGCCTGACAGTAACCAACAGCACCCCTACCTCACCCCCCACCCGAGAGAACCTTCCACTAGCACAACACCCCCCCCCCCATGGCGACAGAGAGAAAGATGCTCACTTTCACAGCTCTGGACATTTCCGGGAACGGCAGTTGAGCACCATACACTATCAAACAGCCCACAGACGCTCTCAGATCCCATCTAGTCCCCATGCCGCATATGCCCCTTCTTCCAGGGGGCAGTGCTGCCCCCCTAAAAAATGCCACCCTAGGCAAATGCCTTGTTTGCCTTCTGGTAAATCTGGGCAGGGATCCTATGTTCTGTGTAACAGAACTCTCCTTAGGACTGAGCCTGGACCACAGATGTGCAAAGCATTTGGAAATATACAGCAGCTTCCCTCCATGCCATGCCTCCATAGTCTACTTTTCTTAGCAGCAGGGATCCTATGTTGGGGCCCACTGCGTAACAGAACTCTCCTATGGACTGGGCCTGGACCACAGATGTGCAAGGCACTTGGAAATGTACAGCAGTTTTCCTCCATGCCATGCCTCTGTAGTCTACTCTTCTAAGTGGCAGGGATCCTATATTGGGGCCCACTGCGTAACAGAACTCTCCTAATGACTGGGCCTGGCCCACAGATGGTCAAGGACTTTGGATGTATACAGCAACTCCCCTCCATGCCATGCCTCCGTAGTCTACTCTTCTAAGCGGCAGGGATCCTATGTTGGGGCCCACTACGTAACAGAACTCTCCTATTGACTGGGCCTGGACCACAGATGGTCAAGGACTTTGGATGTATACAGCAGCTCCCCTCCATGTCTTCGGGCTGACACAAGTAAAGTGTAATGTGTGTAAAGCACCGGTGGAGAAAAATCGGTGTGCAACACTTTGTAGTCAATTCCGGGACAGGTGTCCCTGGTGGGCGAGAAGACGTTATCCTTCTGGTGTGGTGCCTGATAAAGTGTCTTGGCCTCTTGGCATGAGGGGTGTTAACTCTCACAAGAGAGCAATACCATCATGCTAACAATAAAATAAATATTTAACCTGACAGCATGCAGCAAGTGATAATGCTACTGTGAAGGCAGGCTTTTAGCATGCAAGGCGCTGAGCTCTCAGTCTTACCAGAGGAGTACATGAAAAATGATCAACATTTAAAGGATCCACCTCTAATTCCAGGTCAATGCTATCAGCATGCTTTGTCCTAAAAAAGAAAAAAAAAACAGAATGTTTTATCACATAGATACATATAGAACACAGCAGCACCAGTCCATTGGTTTAAAGGCCAGACAAGAATTAGAGAGGAGCTAGAAGCTCTGTAGCCGTTGAGAAGATTTCCCCTCATTCCCTCTGTGGTCACCCAGATAGGAAGTGAGCGGAATCCCTCCAGCAAGGGGCACGATCAGTAATAAAATATGTTTTTAAGTAGAGCAGACAAAAAGGTGAGAACATCTCTCTAATGCTGGCTCTATTAGAGAGGTCCTCTAAATCATTCATGGTCACCAGGACAGGAAGTGACAGGAAACCTCCACAACTGATGCACAGACAGTGATAAAACCTGGCAACTTCCCACCCTTCCCAGTTCTATCAAACAGCCAACTTGTGGCTGGAGGAACAGGAACTTTTTGGCTGCCCACGTGGAAGAAAATTTTATTTGAAATATATTTTAAAAATATTCTTCCCAAATACACTGACATATATTCAGGGGCGGACTGACAACTCATGGGGCCCCCGGGCAATAGGGGATCATGGGGCCCCTGGGTCCTTGCCCAAACTCAAAAAAGCCTATGAAAAAGGTACCAGGGCCATCTCATGGGACCCCCTACTGACCCCGGGCCCTCGGGCAGTGCCCAAGTTTCCAAATGGTCAGTCCGCCCCTACATATATTTGATATGCTACAATTTTGGCCATATTCAATATATTTCAAAATATATTTAATAAATATATATATATATATATATATATATGCAGTATATATATATATATATATATTTATTAAATATATTTTGAAATACATTGATATATATATATACTGCATGTTGATATGTGTTTTTATTACAAAATATCTGAAAAGTATTTTTAAAAATACATTTCAAATATACTGTATGTCATTAAAAATACAAATCTACATTTTTGGAATGCATTTACAAATATATGTAAAAATCTTAAAATGAATTTTTTATATGTTAAAAAATTTGAAGAATATATAAAAAAAAATAAATAAAAATTATATATATATAAATATATATCCACATATAAATATATATATATATACACACACACACACATATATATATATATATATATATATATATATATATACAGTATACACACACACACACATACATATATATATATATATATATATATATATATATATATATATATATATACACACACACTGCATGTTGAAATGCATTTTTTTATATATTACAAAATATATGAAAAATATTTTTTAAAAATAGATTTTTTAAATATATTCTTCAGATTTTTTTTCAACATATAAAAAAGTCACTTTAAAGTATATTTGTAAATGCATTCCAAAAATGTAGATTTGTATTTTTAAAGACATTCAGTATATTTGAAATGTATTTTTAAAAATATTTTTCATGTATTGTGTAATACAAACGCATTTCAACCTGCAGTATATACAGTATATACTGAATACGGCCAAAATTGCAGCATTTCAAATATGTGTCAATATATTTGGGAAGAATATCTGTAAAATATATTTCAAATATATTTTTCTTCCATATGGGTGGAGTTGGTCTTTAACAATCGCAGGAGCGGCACACAGCCAGAAAGAGCGGACGTCTTTTTCCGGAGGGCTCGCTGATCCTTTAATAACATCCAGAGCCGTGTATTAAAAATGTAAGAGCCCAGCAGAAGAATAAGAATAAGAAATATTTTCCCCGCAAGAGTTTCATAAGAGCGGCGGAGGCTAAAATATCGGTAATGGACCTCCGGACAGATGTGGTATTTCCCTGGGGAAGGGATGATAGCGGGGAAACGTGGACAGAGAGGAATATTGAATCTAATTATAGGATCTCATTTAACTGACATCAGGCCGTTATGAAAAAAACAAAAAACAAAAAGCAAGAGCCGGAGGTATGCGTTGTGTTCCGTATGCAGACATATTTAATCGGGTATTATTGTTGGACCTCTTGATGGTGCTGCATGGGGACCCCGCTATTCCTACCATCTTGTTCTAATAAGTCCCAAATGAAACAAAGTATCATAGTGTTCCTCCATAGTTTCATCATTTAAAGTGGTCAATGCAAGGTCTGTCCTCCTCTCTGCTGCCGACTGGTGAAACGAGGGGGGTGGGTTGTAGAGATGAGCTTCTCTGCAGCTGCACAGAGAAAATCAGGATCTGCAGGAGGAGTTCTGCCCTCCTCTCTGCTGCCGACTGCTGAAACGAGGTGGAAGGGGGGGGGGCAGAGATGAGCTTCTTTGCAGCTGCACGGAGAAGAGCAGGATCTGTAGAAGGAGTTCTGCCCTCCTCTCTGCTGCCAACTGCTGAAACAAGGGGAGGGTAGAGACAAGCTTCTTTGCAGCTGCGCGGAGAAGAGCAGGATCTGTAGGAGGAGTTCCGTCCTGCTCTCTGCAGCCGACTGCTAAAATGAGGAGGGTAGAGATGAGCTTCTCCACAGCTGTATGGAGAAGACCAGGATCTGTAGGAGGAGTTCTGTCCTCCTCTCTGCAGCTGACTGCTGAAACGAGGGGGAAGGGGGGCAGAGACAAGCTTCTTTGCAGCTGCACAGAGCAGAGCAGAATCTGTAGGAGGAGTTCTGCCCTCCTCTCTGCTGACGACTGCTGAAACGAGGAAGAAGGGGGGCAGAGACGAGCTTCTCCCCAGCTGCACGGAGAAGAGCAGGATCTGTAGGAGGAGTTCTATCTTGCTCTCTGCAGCCGACTGCTAAAATGAGGAGGGTAGAGATGAGCTTCTCTGCAGCTGCATGGAGAAGAGCAGGATCTGTAGGAGGAGTTCTGTCCTCCTCTCTGCTGCTGACTGCTGAAACGAGGGGGAAGGGGGGAAGAGATGAGCTTCTCCACAGCCACACTAGAGTTGCCACTTCATCCCTTTAAACCCGAACACATATTAATTACACAGGTTCTGGGGCTAATCTAATGTAGATAAGGCACTGAGTTTATAGCCACCTTAATCAGCCCCAGAACCTGTGTAATTAATATGTTTGGGTTTAAAGGGATGAGGTGGCAACCCTAAGCTGCTCAGAGAGATGCAGGGTCTTTAGGAGGAGATCTGTCCTCCTCGGTGCTGCCGACTGCTGAAACGAGGGGGGGGGGGGGGGGTAGAGAGGAGTTTCTCCACAGCTGCACAGAGAAGAGCAGGATCTGTAGGAGGAGTTCTGTCCTCCTCTCTGCTACCGACTGCTGAAACGAGGGGGAAGGGGGAGCAGAGACGAGCTTCTTTGCAGCTTCACGGAGAAGAACAGGTTCTGTAGGAGGAGTTCTGTCCTCCTCTCTGCTGCCGACTGCTGCTGAAACGAGGGGGAAGGGGGAGCAGAGATGAGCTTCTTTGCAGCTTCACAGAGAAGAGCAGGATCTGTAGGAGGAGTTCTGTTCTCCTCTCTGCTGACGACTGCTGAAACGAGGAAGAAGGGGGGGGCAGAGACGAGCTTCTCCGCAGCTGCATGGAGAAGAGCAGGATCTGTAGGAGGAATTCTGTCCTCCTCTCTGCTACCGACTGCTGAAACGGGGGGAAGGGGGAGCAGAGACGAGCTTCTTTGCAGCTTCACGGAGAAGAGCAGGATCTGTAGGAGGAGTTCTGTCCTCCTCTCTGCTGCAGACCGCTGAAACGAGAGGGGTTAGAGACGAGCTTCTCCGCAGCTGCGCTAGGGTTGCCACCTCACCCCTTTAAAACTGAACACATTAATTACACAGGTTCTGGGGTTAATTTAATGCAGGTAAGGCACTAAGTCTAGGTTCACACCAGGGGCGGACTGACAACTCATGGGGCCCACGGGCAATAGGGGATCATGGGGCCCCTGTGTCCTTGCCCAAACTCAAAAAAGCCTATGAAAAAGGTACCAGGGGCATCTCATGGGTCCCCCTATTGACCCCGGGCCCTCGGGCAGTGCCTGAGTTTCCAAATGGTCAGTCCGGGTCAACCACACCTATGCAGGTTGTGGTTGAGCCATTTCTGCATAGCATGTTGCATTTTTGTACTTGTGTTTTTGATGCGTTTTGCTTTTTTTTTTTTTTTCATTTTTCTTGTTGCTGGGCAGATTTAAAACACAAAACACATAAAAAATGCAATACATGCTGCTTTTTCTGCGGCATTTTCATTGAAGTCTATAGAAAAAAAACCACAACTTTTGGTGTTTGAAAAAGTCCCTGACCCTTTCCAGAATACGCACCAGGTGAAAACACACAGGTGTGAACATGTCCCATAGGAAATCAAGTTGAATGGACTGTACTGTGTTTCTGCAAAATGCTTAGGTGTGAACCTGGGGTAAGTGAGTTTATTACCGCCTTAATCAGCCACAGAACCTGTGTAATTAATATGTGTTCAGTTTTAAAGGGATGAGGTGGCAACCTTAAGCTGCACAGAGCACAGCAGGATCTGGTGGAGGAGTTCTGTCCTCCTCTCTGCTGCTAGAACAAGGTGGGGGTAGAGACGAGGAGGGGTGCCACAGCTGCAGGAGAGGTGCGAGGGCCATATGAAATGGCCTGGTGGGCCAGAATTGGCCCATGGGCTTTGTGTTTGACACACACGTCTTAGAGCATTGCCATTGAATGAGCTGCTTTACCGTAATGCCAAAAAAAATGTGCACTACTGGAGAGATTTTCCTTCACTTTATGTACCAGAGACACAGCAGGAAGTGAGAGGAAATCTCTTTAAACCTGAAGTTTAGGTATAGTCATTTGTACATAGTTATGTTGATCCAACTAGGGCCAACGTAAGTATGTATGTGCCATACCTGTGGGCAGGGGCGGACTGACAACTCATGGGGCTCCTGGGCAATAGTGGATCATGGGGCCCCTGTGTCCTTGCCCAAACTCAAAAAAGCCTATGAAAAAGGTACCAGGGGCATCTCATGGGGCCCCCTACTGACCATAGGCCCTCGGGCAGTGCCCGAGTTTCCAAATGGTCAGTCGGCCCCTGCCTGTGGGATCTCCTTAGAAGTTAGAAACGACTGTAGTAGACACTGCTACTACACCTCTACTACAGTGATCTCCACTAGCTTCAAGGTCCCGTGCTGAGTGGCTGCCCTGCTGAATTGTGAACACATGACAAGGGTAGAATAGACGCCTTCCCAACCTAACCCAACCTGCTAGGCCACACCCTCCACTGTTCCAGCTATACAAAATACGCAAACCACGTTTTTGGAGTCAAAATACCCATAGCAGCCTTTTATAAACCAATAAATTATTTCAACATAAATAACATAACATTACAAATTATAAACAGAGGAAAATGTGGTGGTCACTTGAGGGCCATAAACCCAACTTCACTTTTGCGGAAAACATTCCTTCAACTTAGGCCCCAAGCCGCAGCCCACCGGCTCGGGGACAATCCTACTTATCTCCAGCCGCAACCCACCAACTCGGGGACAATCCTACTTATCCCCAGCCGCAACCCACCAGCTCGGAGACCACCCTACTTATCCCCAGCAGCAACCCACCGGCTCGGAGACCATCCTACTTATCCCAAGCAGCAACCCACCGGCTCGGGGACAATCCTACTTATTCTCAGCTGCAGCCCACCGGCTCGGGGACAATCCTACTTACCCTCAGCTGCAACCCACCAACTCGGGGACAATCCTACTTATCCCCAGTCACAACCCACCGGCTCGGGGACAATCCCACTTATCTCCAGCCACAACCCACCGGCTCGGGGACCATCCTACTTATCCCCAGCCGCAACACACCGGCTCGGGAACAATCCTACTTATCCCCAGCCACAACCCACCGGCTCAGGGAATACCCTACTTATCCCCAGCCACAACCCACCAGCTTGAGGACAATGCTACTTATCCCCAGCCACAACCCACCAGCTTGAGGACAATGCTACTTATCCCCAGCCACAACCCACCGGCTCGGGGACAATCCTACTTATCCCCAGATGCAACCCACTGGCTTGAAGACAATGTTACTTATACCCAGCCACAAAACACCAGCTCAGGGATAACCCTACTGCTCCCCAGCCGCAACCCACTGTCTCGGGGATAACCCTACTTATCCGCAGTGACCACCATTTTACCTATTCCGAGTGAACCCCTTGTTAACCGAAATGTATCAAGGTCCCCATACCACTGATGGGTCCCCAATCTGTCTCCATAAAGAATTCTTTCCTCCTCCAAAGACCAACCACCGCCAAGGCCACCGTGACAATCTAAACCAAAGCACGAAGGGGAGGGAGGGTGGGTGGGAAGCATCTTCTTCCAACTTCCCCACCGGACTTCCTGAGATTGGACACTCCTTTTCCTCCCTGTGAACCTTCCCAAACATCCCCATCCCATCAGATAAGCCATACTCTCAAAACTTCCTACCCTTCTTTTATGTTGTCCCTCTATTCCCCCAGTCATGCCGTCCCTGCACTTAATTTTTTTTTTTTTTGCTCTGGACCTACCTGGAGACAGCTCACAATGCAGCAAGGCAGCCATTGGCACAATACCTAGTTGGTAGATACTACTGTAGTATCTGTGCTTATTACAGTGTTTTCCAGCTTCCATGGGGTTGCCACCAGCATGGCGCACACATACTTTTACCGGTCCAAGCTGGACCAATGTAACCATGTAAAAATTGCCAAATCTGACCCTCAGCTATCACATGAGAGAAAATCTCCTCTTAGGCAGTTGTCACCAGAATAGGTGGAAGATTTCCCCTCCACTCCTTTTTAACTTTTGGATTTCCCATCACTTTCTGTCCATGTGCCAATAGTCACCAGATGAAGAGTGTTCTGTACAGATCTTTCTGTGTATGCATTCCCTCTTGTGTCTCATTGGAGCTCTGAGGGTCTTTACCTCCATTTGATAAGGGTCTGGATGAGGGCGGCGTAGCCTTGTGCAGCAGCAAGGTGGAGCAACGTCATTCCTCGAAAGGTCTTGGAATGGATCAGGTGCTTCGATTTTGCCCAGCATGCTTTGCTCATCATCTTCTCACACACCACCACTACCCGACTCTCAAAGCAGCTTCCTATAGATCCCGCACCGGTGGCACACTGCAGAGAGAAGACACAACATTTACCGTCATGACTGCATGTGCAGAGAACCAACTCCTACTAGACCTATGGGCTGGAGAGCTGTTAGCCTTGTTTGGAGGAAAGCATAATGCACCATAAGGGCCAACCGCTATGTAGAACCAAAGCCCATGGATAGTGACATGTGGCTTCTACAGATTCTGGATGGCAAACTAGCCGCTAACTACAATGTTGTACCATAACCCAGAGGTCTTCAAACTGAGGCCTTTCTTTGTCATTATCTGGCCTTTGGGGATTTGTTCCTGATACAAGGCACTATTCCTCCCACTGACACCAATGATGGGGCACTATTCCTCCCACTGACACCAATGATGGGACACTATTCCTCCCACTGACACTAATGATGGGGCACTATTCCTCCCACTTATACCAATGATGGGGCGCTATTCCTCCCACTGACACCAATGATGGGGCACTATTCCTTCCACTGACACCAATGATGGGGCGCTATTCCTCCCACTGACACCAATGATGGGGCACTATTCCTCCCACTGACACCAATGATGGGGCACTATTCCTCCCACTGATACCAATGATGGGGCACTATTCCTCCCACTGATACCAATGATGGGGCACTATTCCTCCCACTGACACCAATGATGGGGCACTATTCCTCCCACTGATATCAATGATGGGGCACTATTGCTCCCATTGACACCAATGATGAGGCACTATTCCTCCCACTGACACCAATGATGGGGCACTATTGCTCCCATTGACACCAATGATGGGGCACTATTCCTCCCACTGACACCAATGATGGGGCGCTATTCCTCCCACTGACACCAATGATGGGGCACTATTCCTCCCACTGACACCAATGATGGGGCACTATTCCTCCCACTGACACCAATGATGGGGCACTATTCCTCCCACTGACACCAATGATGGGGCACTATTCCTCCCACTGACACCAATGATGGGGCACTATTCCTCCCACTGAAACCAATGATGGGGCACTATTCCTCCCACTGACACCAATGATGGGGCACTATTCCTCCCACTGATACCAATGATGAGACACTATTCCTCCCACTGATACCAATGATGGGACACTATTCCTCCCACTGACACCAATGATGGGGCACTATTCCTCCCACTGACAGCAATGATGGGGCACAATTCCTCCCACTGACACCAATGATGGGGCACTATTCCTCCCACTGATACCAATGATGGGACACTATTCCTCCGACTGATACCAATGATGGGACACTATTCCTCCCACTGATACCAATGATGGGGCACTATTCCTCCCACTGACACCAATGATGGGGCACTATTCCCCCCACTGACACAAATGATGGAGCACTATTCCTCCCACTGATACCAATGATGGAGCACTATTCCTCCCACTGATACCAATGATGGGGCACTATTCCTCCCACTGACACCAATGATGGGGCACTATTCCTCCCACTGACACCAATGATGGGGCACTATTCCTCCCACTGACACCAATGATGGGACACTATTCCTCCCACTGACACCAATGATGGGGCACTATTCCTCCCACTGATACCAATGATGGAGCACTATTCCTCCCACTGACACCAATGATGGGGCACTATTCCTCCCACTGACACCAATGATGGGGCACTATTCCTCCCACTGACACCAATGATGGGGCACTATTCCTCCCACTGACACCAATGATGGAGCACTATTCCTCCCACTGATACCAATGATGGGACACTATTCCTCCCACTGATACCAATAATGGGGCACTATTCCTCCCACTGATACCAATGATGGGGCACTATTCCTCCCACTGATACCAAAGATGGGGCACTATTCCTCACACTGATACCAATGATGAGGATCACTGGCCAAATGTTGGAGAATGATTTTGATTGGTCAGCAAAATGAAATCTCTTTGATGGGTCCTTCTCTTACGGGCAGATTGTCTATGGGCACAGATCTGATCACATTGGACGACATCTCTCTTGTCTATGGACATTTTTATTCCTTCGTCAATACTTATTGGTATACCCTTGACAACCTTTTGACAAGACTTACTTGTGCTTGGCTCCCCCCACTGTTGGCTCCGCCTCCATTGCCTCCTCCCACGCTTTGTTTGTGCTGTTGGGATCCGGTCATCTCCGCCATTCTCCGCTCCATCTGCTCCAAGCGTTCCAGGATCGACATTCTAAACTGGTTGTCTAGACAGAGGAAGGAAATTCGATGCAGTCAGTGGCCTGTCAAATTGTGACATCGATCTGACACATTTATTTCAACAAAGAACTCGATCGCAAGGATCTCCCCAACAACCCCCCCCCCCCCCCCCCAAGAACAGATGAAAGTATCAAGTGAAATGACGTCAGTTGTGGGTGGAGTGACCCTTATCCATATCCGGGGAGTCAGAAAATGATAAGTTGATCTTTTGCCTCTCTGACATTTCACCACCTTTGCATGTTACTGTCCAACGGGTCTGAACCAGGAGAAACGGGTCTCTTGATGCGAGGCAAACCTTCCATTTTCTGCTTTTCAGAGGAGCTGCCTTGTCAACCAGCATTCCTCAGTGGGGAGGTTGGGTAGGAGCACATGGTATGGAATGGTGTCAGGCAACGGGCTGCATGTTAGTTCCTCCTACAGATCAACAAGCACTATTCCTCCCACTGACACCAAGAATGGAGCACTATTACTTCCACTGACACCTGTGCGCCACTATGCCTCCCACTGACACCAAGGATGGGGCACTATTCCTCCCACTGATACCAATGATGGGGCACTATTCCTCCCACTGACACCAAGGATGGGGCACTATTCCTCCCACTGATACCAATGATGAGGCACTATTCCTCCCACTGACACCAATGATGGGGCACTATTCCTCCCCACTGACACCAATGATGGGGCACTATTCCTCCCACTGATACCAATGATGAGGCACTATTCCTCCCACTGACACCAATGATGGGGCACTATTCCTCCCACTGATACCAATGATGGGGCACTATTCCTCCCACTGACACCAATGATGGGGCACTATTCCTCCGACTGATACCAATGATGGGGCACTATTCCTCTCACTGACACCAATGATGGGACACTATTCCTCCCACTGATACCAATGATGGGGCACTATTCCTCTCACTGACACCAAGGATACGGCACTATTCCTTCTGCTAACACCAATGATTGGGCACTATTCCTCCTACTGACACCAATTAAGGGCACTATTCCTCCCACTGACACCAATGACGGGGCACTATTCCTCCCACTGACACCAATGATGGGCACTATTCCACTTACTGACACCAATGACGGGCACTATTCCTCCCACTGACACCAATGATGGGGCACTATTCCTCCCACTGACACCAATGATGGGGCACTATTCCTCCCACTTATACCAATGATGGGGCACTATTCCACTTACTGACACCAATGATGGGGCACTATTCCTCCTACTGACACCAATGATGGGGCACTATTCCTCCCACTGATACAATGACAGGGCACTATTCCTCCCACTGACACCAATGATGGGGCACTATTCCTCCCACTGACACCAATGATGGGGCACTATTCCTCCCACAGAAACCAATGATGGGGCACTATTCCTCCTCCCACTGATAACCAATGATGGGGCACTATTCCTCCCACTGATACCAATGATGGGGCACTATTCTCCCACTGACACAATGATGGGGCACTATTCCTCCCACTGACACCAATGATGGGGCACTATTCCTCCCACTGACACCAATGATGGGGGGCACTATTCCTCCCACTGACACCAATGATGGGGGCACTATTCCTCCCAAAAGATACCAATGATGGGGCACTATTCCTTCCTCCCACTGATACCAATGATGGGACACTATTCCTCCCACTGACACCAATGATGGGGCACTATTCCTATTCCAATGATCCCTATTCCTCCACTGACACCAATGATGGGGCACTATTCCTCCCAAAGATACCAATGATGGGGCACTATCCTCCCACTGATACCAATGATGGGACACTATTCCTCCCACTGACACCAATGATGGGGCACTATTCCTCTCCCACTGACACCAATGATGGGGCACTATTCCTCCCACTGACACCAATGATGGGGCACTATTCCTCCCACTGATACCAATGATGGGGCACTATTCCTCCCACTGATACCAATGATGGGGCACTATTCCTCCCACTGACACCAATGATGGGCACTATTCCTCCCACTGACACCAATGATGGGCACTATTCCTCCCACTGCACCAATGATGGGGGCACTATTCCTCCCACTGACACAATGATGGGGCACTATTCCTCCCACTGACACCAATGATGGGGCACTATTCCTCCCACTGACACCAATGATGGGGCACTATTCCTCCCACTGACACCAATGATGGGGCACTATTCCTCCCACTGACACCAATGATGGGGCACTATTCCTCCCACTGACACCAATGATGGGGCACTATTCCTCCCACTGACACCAATGATGGGGCACTATTCCCTCCCACTGACACCAATGATGGGGCACTATTCCTCCCACCTGACTGACATGCAATGATGGGGCACTAATGACACCAATGATGGGCACTATTCCTCCCACTGATACCAATGACACAATGAGGCACTATTCCTCCCACTGACACCAATGATGGGGGGCACTATTCCTCCCACTGACACCAATGATGGAGCACTATTCCTCCCACTGATACCAATGATGGGGCACTATTCCTCCCACTGACACCAATGATGGGGCACTATTCCTCCCACTGACACCAATGATGGGGTACTATTCCTCCCACTGACACCAATGATGGGGCACTATTCCTCCCACTGACTCGTCCCACTGACACCAATGATGGAGCACTATTCCTCCCACTGATACCAATGATGGGGCACTATTCGTCCCACTGACACCAATGATGGGGCACTATTCCTCCCACTGACACCAATGATGGGGTACTATTCCTCCCACTGACACCAATGATGGGGCACTATTCCTCCCACTGACACCAATGATGGGGCACTATTCCTCCCACTGATACCAATGATGGGGCACTATTCCTCCCACTGATACCAATGATGGGACACTATTCCTCCCACTGACACCAATGATGGGGTATTCCTCCCATTCCTCCCACTGACACCAATGATGGGGCACTATTCCTCCCACTGACACCAACAATGGGGCACGTTCCCTCCCCCTAATACCAAGGACTGCAGAACACCTCCCCTTCTCACCTCTCCAACATGGGGGGGTGTTCTGTAATTCTAACAAGCTTCTTGGTGACACTACTTAAGAGAAGATTGCAGAGTGGATTTCTGGCAGGATCAACCAGATTGTAGCCTATATGTGAAATCGCGACAAACTGCAGAAAAAGTAATACGAGAACTACGTTTGACATCGCGCCGCGGCAAATCGCTTATGTTAGGACGCTCACATTCACATTCATTAGATCTGATTTCAGGTACCATTTCAATTCCCAAATCGCACCTGAAATCGCGGCGGTGTGCACCAGCCCTTCTCGCGACTCGTGAAGATTTCCATGCCACTTGCAGTGCTGTTTCCATTGTATGCTATAAATGTGAAATCGCAACAAAACTGCGGAAAAAGCCAATCAAGGACTACTTTAGAAATCGCGCCGCGGCGAATCGCACGGTAAGACATTCACATTCATTAGATGCGATTTCGCACCGGTGTGACCGGACACTTGGAGAAGGAAAGCTGAGAGCCGTCAATATTTGTAAATCGCTGTAATAAATAAATAAATGGATGACTTGGGGTGCAGGGGCCCCCGTTGAGGCTGCTCTCAACAAAACAGCCCCACCCCCCCCCGGGGCGGACTAACCATTCGAGCACTCGAGCACTGCCTGAAGGCCCGGGGTCAGTAGGGGGCCCCATGAAATGCCCCTGGTACCTTTTATAGGCTTTTTTGGGTGTGGTTTGAGTGTGGGCAAGGACACAGGGGCCCCATGATCCTCTATTGCCCGGGGGCCCCATGAGTTGTCAGTCCGCCCCTGCCCTCCCCCATCTCATATTAACCAGTTCAGCTCCAGAAGGTTTTACCTCCTTCATAACCCGGATTTTTTTTTTTTTGCTATTAAGCACTGCGTTATGTTAACTGGTAATTGCGCGGTTGTGCAACCCTGTACCCAAATTAAATTTCTTTTTTTTTCTCACACAAATAGATATCTTTTGGCGATATTTGATCACCACTAGGGCTTTTTATTTTTTTATTATATTAACGAAAAAAAAAACATTTTGCCGAAAAAAAAACTATTTCTGATATAAAACACATCCCAAAAAAAAATTTTTTTTACACAAATAGAGATTTCTTTTGCCGGTATTTGATCACCACTGGGGCATTTTATTTTTTATTATATTAACGAAAAAACAAAAAAAAACATTTTGCCAAAAAAAAAATTATTTCTACTATAAAACACATCCAAAAAAGAAAAAAATTGAAAAAAATTGAATTTCTTCATAAATTTAGACCAAAATGTATTCCGCTTCATTCCTTTGATTAAAAAAAAAAAATCCAAAAAAGTGTATATGGATTAGATTGCATTTAAAGTGACAGCGTCTACATGCTTTGCTGGAGTTTTTTTTTTGCCTTCCTCTGGATCAACTGTGGGTGTAGGATTATAACTGGATGGACTTTTGCCTTTTTTCAGCCAGACTAACTATGTGCAGGGGCGGACTGACCATTTGGAAACTCGGGCACTGCCCGAGGGCCCGGGGTCAGTAGGGGGCCCCATGAGATGCCCCTGGTACCTTATTCATAGGCTTTTTTGAGTTTGGGCAAGGACACAGGGGCCCCATGATCCCTTATTGCCAGGGAACCCCATGAGTTGTCAGTCCGCCCCTGACTATGTAACTATGTAAATATGTCTACAAACAATGGCGTATATACTGGAAACTTTTTTTTTTATACTGCTAATGGCGAAGATCAGCGACTTATAGTGAGACTGTGATAGTGCGGCGGGCAATCTGACGCTGGGTGGGAACTGACTATCAGACACTGCCATCACCTGTGACACCAATACAGTGATCAGTGCTAATACGATGCGCTGTCACTGTGCTAATGACACTGGTTGGGAAGGGGTTAACATCTTGAGTAATCAAGGGGTTAAATATGTGCCTCACTATGTGCAATGGGTGTATTATGTGCTGCTTTGTACTAAATATCTCTCTGTTTCCTCTCCCAG